TGGCCTCTGGGCCTCGGGTCCTTCCCCAGGGGGCGCCTGCGGTCTCCCCTCCGCCGCTGGGGGGCGCTGCGGGAACGGCGGTGCCTCTGGGTGTCCATGGACCCACTCAGGGCTCCCCCGAGTCCAGGTGGCCAGGAGCGTGCGAGCGTGTGACAGTGGGAACAGGTTTCCTGTTGTCTTGGATCAACCCCCAGGAGGCAGAAACTGCTTTAAAAGCCTTGCTCCTATTGGGATACTTGACTGCGTCTATAAATATGTGTAAAATAAAGTGTGGAACAGAGGGAACCGCGCAGGTGACGCCAGGCCGGGACTGCTGGCCATGGGGACTGAGGATAGCTGCTGCCACCTAACCAGCCCTGCCCCTGCCCGGAGGAGCGCCCAGGAGGAGCCCGGGAAGAGGCCCAGGCAGACACCCCTGGCACTAAGCTGTTTAGGGTGTGCATTTGGGGACAGACGCTGGGGCTCCAATCCCGGTCTGCTCTCTGCTGCTGTGTGATGTTAGCCAGGAACAGAGAGGCTCAGAGAATAGAGGCGTTTAGGTCTCGCAGGCGGTGGGCGCAGGCGCAGGCAGCATCTCTTATTCCTTCAACAGCCTCCTCTGGGCCGGGCTCTGTGGGCAGAGAAGGCCGACCCGAGGAAAACGAGTGCTTAACAAGCCCTGGCTTGTCGCGGGCAGGGAAGTGGGCAGGGGGCTGCCTAGGCACCGGGTCGCTGTCTCTGTTCAGAAAATAAAATGCTCCAAGGTCCAATGCTCCTTGAGCATCTGTACAAAGCCACAGTGGAAAATTCCACCCCCCCCCCACCTCTCAGGACAAGTCCAAATCCATTGCATAAAATGACCTCCCGGCTATGCATACAAAGGTGCACGTGACCCAGGGGAATTTCGAATTTTGTGTGTAGGCTTGGATCCCATCCCAACAGCTCTCGTTACAGTGCAGATGCAAATACTTCAAAATCCAAAGAAAAAGTCTGAATCTGGATCTCCTCAGAAAGCAACGCATGGGTGCGCCTGCAGTCAGGGTGGTCAGGGAGCCTCGCGGACAGGGGCAACAGCAGAGCAAAGGCTTGAAACTAGCGGGGTGAACGGAAGGAAAAGGGGACAGTGAGTGCAAAGGCCCTGTGGCCGGCCTGTGCCTGAAGTGTGGGATGAACTGCGAGGTAGAGGTGTGGCTGCAGCCGTGAGCTGGCGACAGGGCAGCCAGCGGGGAGGCAGCGAAGCCTTTGCTTCTGTTTGTGTGACATGGAGACTCAGGAGGGTTTGCGGGGAGGACGCAGGTTCTAACCAGAACCTCTGGCTGCCTTGGGGGGAGAATTGACTGGGGGTCTGGGGCGGAAACGGAGAGACTGGGCCAGAGGTGGGCCCCGCACTCTGCACTCTGCGCTGGCATGGGGGGGGGGGTGCACATAAGGAAAGGGCTGGGAAAGGCGCCGCCCACGGCCAAGGGGCCCTGCGGGCTGGGTCTGGTTCTGGGTTTTGCTTTGGAGACGGGGCCTCTCTGTGTCGCCAGGCTGGCCTCCTACTCCTGGGCTCAAGTGAGCCACCTGCCTTGGCCTCCCCAGTAGCCGGGACCACTCCCTGGCTGTGCTCTGCTAACCCTTTTTGTTTTATTTTGAGCCAGGTTCTCACTTAGGTGCTGAGGCTGGCCTTGAACTGGCAGTCCTTCTGCCTCGGCCTCCCTAGCCATTGGGATCACAGTGCGCCACTGTGCCCAGTTCTGCTCGGGTCTTGCTGTGTGGCGTTGGCTGATTGCTAGCCCTCCCTGAACCTGCATCTCTGCTCCTCTGTGGCACAGAAACCCGTGTATCAGCCCAGTTTCACCCCATTGGTGCCAGGACAATTATTGACTCAGGTGCTGGTTGCCTGAGCTCAGCAGGTAGGCGCGGTGGAGAGGTGTGGACGCCGTGGCCTGAGATTTGGGAGCTCTTCCCCGCCCACACACCCAGGGCTGAGAGCCACAGGGACAGACAGAGACGTGAGAGCCCTCGGGCCCCTTCGCCTGCCCCCGGGGAGCCCCTGCCTTCACTCATTCATTCAAACCTGGCGAAGTTCCCGGGTCCGGCCCTGTGGGTCCCCCCTGGAGTCCAGGGGGCTGCGGCTCATATGGAAGTGGGGGGTAGGGCACTTTGTACCAATGCAGTGACTCATTCAGTTTTGGGGTCCTGAAGGCCTGGTGGCCCTTAGTTTTCCCCTCCTGCAGGTGGGCAGGAGAGGCCCCGGCCGAGCCTCGGTGAGACCAAAGGCTGAGACAGACCCCCAGAGCTTCGTTTCCTAGTGTTGATCAGGAGCTCAGAGCTTAAGAGACACCAGCCGCCTAGATCCTCAGCAGGGTCAAGACCTGACAGCAGAGGTCACCGCCATCCTCGGGGAAACTGAGACTCCGGTTGTCACCGAGAAGGCATCAGAGCCGGGCCTCGGCGAGGCGCTTAGCTGCCCATCTGCCTGGGAACCATGGCTTGGCCCCACCCACGGGGCTGCATCGGCCTGGCCACTGGTGACATCACTGCTCCACTCCCCACGCTCAACCTGGGGGCTGACTGATGACATCAGGGACCAACAATGACCGCTTCCTGAATGCAAGCCAGGAGTCAGGCCTTATCCTAACCATTTGTCCCCTCCTGCCATCCTTATTTTTTAAAATTTAGGAAACTTTGATGCCGTGCTTAGTCCATGCCAGGTCCAGTCTGAAGCCTTTCACAGGCTTGTAGTGACCCTGTGAGGTGACCATTATTGTTATTCCCATCACATGAATCAAAAAGCAGGCACAGAGAGGTTAGGTGACTTGCTCAAAGCCACACAGCTGGCGGGAGATGGAGTTCAGACCCACACAGTCTGCACTGGGGTGAATGCCACCAACCAATACGCTTTGCTCCTTCTCTTATCCCTGCTGTAGCTGTGGGGAAACTGAGGCACAGGGAGATTTTTTTTTGAGCATCTGGCCGCAGCTCAGTTAGAAAATGGCAAACCCGGAGGCTCAGCCTGCAGGATCCAGCTCCAGAACCACGTTGATGCCTGGGCCCCAACCCTGGGGGTGACCAGCGTACCCCCATCCCTCAGCCTTCCGCCAGCAAACCGCGCCCCCCCACTTCCCGAGCCCCTCGGACACTGCTGTTTGGAAACCCTGGCTGAGCTGGGCACCCCAGGGCCCCCGCGAGGCCTCCTGTGACCCCCGCCTGGTGCCAGGTCTCAGCAGGCCCTTCCCTCTGGTGGAGCCTCTGAGCCCCGGAGGCCTTGGGCAGGAAGGTGGGAGCCCCCAGGTGCCTTGGTCTCCTCATCCACCAACTGGACAGGTGCGGAGGGGCTAGCAGAAAGGGCCTCCGAAACCAGCGCTTGGACCTCACTGGAGCCTGAACCATTGTCAGCCCCTTTTTATTTTAGCAGAAGAAGTTTCTTCCCTGATATTTCATTCACTCGTTCGCTCGCTGAATATTTTTCTAAAGGGAACCTCACAGGGGGGTCGTGTCACCAAGTCTCAGCCCACAGCGCAGTGAATTTGCAACGTGGGTGGAGGGGCCCTCAGCCGCCTGTTCCCTGTGCCCCAGCAAGGAGCACGGCCCTCCCGCCTCCGCCGCCATAGCTGGCCTTTTCCCCATTCTGAATTTTTTTGTAGTTGGACCCCTGCAGTGTGGAGTCCGGTGTGTTGTGTCCCTGGTGTGGCATTATGTTCCCGAGTCTCATCTGTGCCGCAGAACCAAACCCTCTTTACATCACAGATATTTGGGACTGTCTTCTTGACTGTTCTGAAATAAAATTCAAAGACAATGTGCTGTAGTCCCCCTTCTGTGCTGCCCCACCTTCTCTGGTTTTAGTTACCCTTGGTCAACTTTGGTCCAAACATAGTAAATGGAAGATTCCAGATGTTAACAGTTCATAAGTTTTAAGTTATACACCCTTCTCTGCACCATGATGAAATTTCTCGCTGTCCTGATCCATCCCGCCTGAGACATGAATCACCTTTTTGTCCAGTGTTTCCACTCTGTATATGGTACCTGCCCGTTACTCATGGTTATCAGATCACCTGCCGCTGTACAGCCATTCTTGTATGCAGAGTTTGGTACTATCTGAAGTTTCAGGCAGTGGGGGTCTTGGAAGTCCCCTACAGACTGCTGCCTACAGATAAGGGGGGAATACTGTAATCTATTTACTCGCGTGAATTTTTAAGGTTCAGTATATCATCCTATGTGTGCTGTAAAGGGAGATGCATTGAAGGAAACACAGTGTGGTGGGAAGACTGGGCCAGTCCTGGGTTTGTGGGGCCTGAATCTTAATCCATGTCAAGAGCAACCCTGAAAAAATAAATAAGAATTGCTTCCTATGACTGCATCTTTAGGTAGGTGGAATGTTTATTGCAAATGAGAAAAGAAATCACAGTGAAGTATTTCCTTTTGGAAGCCAACAGATTCCCATAAATATCCCAGAAAAGTCACAGACAGTGGCTATACCCACTTCACACCACGGGCTCGAGGTCCTTGCACGAGGAGTGTGGTGACCTAGCTTCTGTCCCTCGCCTTCCTGTCCCTCACCCCACAGTCAAGAAGCACCACACCAGCCAGTTCACGGGGGCCTTGCTGTGCACAGAGGAGGGAGAGCCCTGCTCAGCTGCGCCTTCCCCAGCCCTGTCACGGTCCCTCTCCAGAGGCTCCGACACCTGGGGAGGTCCAGGCTGACAGGACTGTGGACTGACCAGTTGCCCTTAAAACTTCTCCCTTTGGCCACTTTGGCTGCTTGAACCTGTCGCATGGGGGGCTGGGAAAGCAGCACAGGTCACTTTATTCTGTTGTGCTGGAGCAGGGGCGAGCTGGGCGCCTGCCTCGGGAAGCCTCTGCCCCACTCTGTAGGCTGTGTAGAGCACTCTGGGTCCCGCCCGCTGTGTGGCTTTGAGCAAGCCACACTCCCTCTCTGTGCCTGGCTTTCTTCACCCATACCGAGGGAGTGATACTCGTCAGGACACCATAGGGCTGCTGCTCTGCCTGGTGACCGCCGTCTCCCTCTCCTCCCACAGCCAGACCGTCTCGGGCGAATACTTCAGATACAAGGGCATCCTCTTCCCCGTGGGCCTCTACTCCCCGGAGAGCATCAGCCAGGCCGAGAACACCTCCAATGTGCACGACGACGACATCTTCATCATCACCTACCCCAAGTCAGGTACCTGTGGGGCTGGGGCTGGGCCAGGGGAGCAGGCGGGAAGGGACCCAGGATGCCGGGTCCCCCAGGGGGACAGGGAAAGAGCCACCCGGATGAATCTGGCCTCTGCACTTCCAGTCCCCTGCGGAAGCAGCCTTCCGAGACACCACAGGCGGGCTCCCTCCCCGGGGTAGGCTTCCCCCCTGCTAAAATCAGGCTCCCCCTGTACCTTGACCTTCATAGCATTGATTACTACCAGCTACTACATCTTTTTTGGGGGGGCAGGGGAGTACCAGGAACTGAATCCAGTAAGCCACATCCCCAGCCTCGTTTTATATTTTATTTCAGGGTCTCACTGAGTCTCTGAGGCTGGCCTTGAACTTTCGATCCTCCTACCTCAGCCTCCCGAGCCTCTGGGATTACAGGCATGCGCCACCACCCCTGGCTCAATTAAAAAAAAAAAAAAAAATTATTGATTAGTCTCTGGTTTCTCCACTTTGTCTGTCTGTCTGTCTTTTTGATACTGGGGATTGAGCCTCAGAGGTGCTTTACCAATGAGCCAAAAATCCCGGCCTTTTATATTGTTTTATTTTGAGATACGGCCTTGCTAAATTGCTGAGGCTAGCCTTGAACTTGAAATCCTCCTGTCCCAGCCTCCTGAGCCTCTGGGATCACAGGTGTGTGCCAGCAAGCACAGTTCAGTTTTTCTGGAGCAGTGCTCCAGTCTGAGTCTCTAAAATGACAGGGTTGACTACTATTTTCAGAATACTTTTGAGAATTTTCATGATGTAACTTCACCCTTTTAAACATAAAGCCCCCTCTCCTTCCCCATGTCACTTCCTTTTTTTCTTATTGTGGTTCTAGGGCTGAAACCAGGGCCTTGCACAAAGCGCCCTGCTCAAACCCAGGACGTGCTCACCACCGGGCTGCCACCTCGGCCCCAGCACGGGGTTCTGAGCGCGCGTGTGGAGCAGTTCTGAAATATAGTCCACTCTCCATGCGACTCGCCCACTGAGCACACACCGCGCGGGCTTTGGCAGTCACAGAGCTGAGCCTCCACCCCACAGTCCATCTTAGAATATTTCCATCACTCCATCGAGAAATCCTGGGCCCCGGAGCCCGGGCCTCCCCAGGCACCCGCCCTTCCCCAGGCCCAGCACCCAGAGCCCACTCCCTGTCTCCAGGATTGGCCTGTTCCAGGCGTTCCCTGTGTGGGGACTCATGCAATGAGTAGCTTTGGTGTCTGGCTTCTGTCACTCACGTCGTGACATCCACAGGTGCTTCGTCCCCCTCTCATGATAGTGACACTCCATGGCGTGTGCAGGCCACGTTGTGAGTGGATGCCCATCAGCTGAGGGGCGATCGGTCCTTTCCACTCTGGCTGCTGTGGATAATGCCCCCGTGGTCATCTGCGCACAGATCTTATGTGGACGTGTTTTCAGTTCTGTGGAGTTCTGGGATTGGACGGACACAACCTTCATATAGCTATCAGCGCAACGACAGAGGCTGGCCCAGTGGCCCACGCCTGCAATCCCAGCAGCTCGGGAGGCTGAGGCAGGAGGATGGCAAGTTCAAGGCCAGCCTCAGCAATTTAGCTAGACCCTGTCTCAAAATAAAAAATTAAAAGGGTTGGGGATGTGGCTCAGTGATTGAGCACCCTGGGCCCCCCCCCCCCCCCAAAAAAAAAGAAAAAGATACAGAAGAATACACCCAACTGCCCACATCCCTTGTAGCCTTTGGTCATTAACTCCTCCCTCCACCCTACCCCCTGGCAACCAGTGATCACCTTGTACCCTATGGTCTTGCCCTTTCTTAAATGTCACCTAGATGGAGGCACGTGGCATGCAGCTTTTGAGACGAAGGACAGACTTATTCCACTCACCATGATGCACTTTGGGTTGTTAGAGTGGTGCTGAGGCCGCAGGTTACGGGCTGGTTTTGGGCTGTAGGGACGGGGCTCGGCCTGTCTGGGGTCGGTTCCTCCAGGGTGAATAGGAGACAGCTTCTAGGAAGCTTTGTGGACAGGTCTGTGCATGGAATATGTTTCCACTTATCTTGGGTAAATACTCAGATGAGCGATTGCTGGCTCTGTGGCCCCCGTGTGTTGAGCTTTATAAGAAGCCACCAGGCTGCTGGGTGCCACTTGGCAAGGCCCTAAGAACTCGGTGAGCCCCTGTCCCAAAATAAAACAGAGAAAAAGGCTGGGGATGTGGCTCAGTGGTTAGGCACCCCTGGGTTCAATCCCTGCTACCAAAATAACCCCAAAAAAACCAGCGGACGGTTCTCCCCAGTGGCTTTGCCACTTTGCCTGCTCACCAGCAATGGCACCGGGTCCCCTGCTCTGCATCCTGCCAGCTCACCACCACCAGGTGGTTTCCAGCGGTTTGATAGGTGCCGACTGATGTTCGATTGTGGCTTTGATTCGCTTTTCCCCTGATGTCAGCACTGTCTGGCCGTCCTCTGTCCTCGGTGGTACAGGGTCTTTTCCAATCTTTCCTCCTCTTCGTGGGCTGTTTGTTTTCTCATCGTTGAGTTTCGAGACATTTCTTTTACAGTCCATGGGGGAACCCTTGATCAGATACGCGTCTTGAAGCCTCCTCCTGGCTGCGGCTGTCTGAGCGCTCTCTTATCAGAGCATAAGAGCAGAGATTCTTCATCTGGATGAGATCCAATTAGTCACTTTGTCCTTTTACATATCATGCTTTTGTCGTATCTAAGAAATCTTTGCTTAACCTATGACCACAAAGATGTCTTCTGTTTCTTCTTCTAGAAATTTTACAGGTTTAAATTGCACATTTAAATCTGTGATCCATTTTGAGCTGGATGTTATCCGTGGTATTAGGTGGAGATCAAGGTTCTTTGTGTATGGATGTCCAGATATTTTGTGTTTATTTTTTTTTAATAGATTTAAAATGGATTAACTTCTCCTCAGTCCTGTCACGTGTAGATAACATCACATTCACTTTTTCTTTTGAGATAGTTCTGGGGATCGGACCCAGTGCCTCACACATGCTGGGCAAATGCTCTACAACCACAATACATCCCCAGCCCATCCTCTTAAAAAAAAAAAAAAAAAGAAAGAAAGAAAGAAAGAAAAGAAAGAAATTTCTCAAAGTCGTGGAGGTTGGCCTCAGACTTGCAATCTTCCTGCCTCGGCCTCCCAAGTTGCTGGGATTACATCATACCCAACCCCAGCTGTTTTTTGTTTTTTTTTCTTTAACAGTTCCGCAGTATTTCACGACACTGACATACAATCATTCTTGTTTAACCATTTGCTTACTGATTAACACTTAGTAATTTTTTATCTTTTCCTTTTATTTGTTTATTTGGTACTGGGGACTGAACCCAGAGGTACTGTACCACTGAGCCACACCCCAGCCTGAGCACATTTTAATTTTGTTTTTTTTAAACTATTCATATTTCCTTTTCTAGGATGATCTCTGGTACCCCCCCCCCCCCCCCATTGAACTCTTGGTCTTTCATTGTTTCATAGGAGCTCTTTATATATTAGTGAACTTAATTCTTCACGGAGACTGAATTATAAATATGTTCCCCAGTTGTTTTTTTTTTACTTTCATCATAATTTTTCTATGCATATCTTTAAAATCATGTATCAAGTTGACTTCCTAATTTTAAGGCTCTCTTTGGATTCATGGCTCATCATTATGATCATGATCACAGGGTTTTTGTTTCTTTGTGTTTTAAGACAAGGTCTCACTCTGTTACCCAGGCTGGCCTGGAACTCCTGGGCTCAAGGGATCCTCCTGCCTCAGCCTCCTGAGCAGCTAGCTGGGAGGGATGACAGGCTCCACCACCGTGCCTGGCTGATTGTGGTTTCAATGTGGTGGACCACAGTCATCAGGATCACGGGTGGAGGCTTGGATCTTTTTTGGTGCTTTAAGGTCACAGCAACACTCCATGATGAAACACTTGTCCCTTGGTTATTCCTACCTTAGAAAATGTGGGAAAGTTCTAGAATATCTCTAAGCCCTTACTTTCCCCATCTCCAGTTTCTTTATTTTCCCCTATAATGACAACAGGACTTATGTGTATCAGTTAGGGTATATGTTAAGCTGCTGTAACAAAGAGACCCCAAGAAATAACCAGGATTTTCTCCCCAATAACAGTTCAGGTAGGTGGGCATTTGAGCAGGCAAGTAACTCCATTCCAAGAAGTCAGAAAGGCTTAGAATGCCCTTCTAGCTTGGTGGCTTCTAAAATGGTGTCGTCCTCTTTGGCAACACCACTTCCAGAGTCCTGTCGGCAAAGGGAAAAGGGAAGAAAAAAGGGGAAAGGGTATGGAGGACAAGCAGCTCCTCTTAAAGGCAGGGCCCAGAAAGTGCTGTCCCCTCTACTCACAGCTCATAGGCCAGAGCTTAGTCACGTGACCATACCCAGCTGCAAAGGATTCTGGGGGCTGTAGTTTCTGGGTGAATGCCAGCGTGCTCAATGAACCTTAAATATTCTGATACTATCACCAGGAGGGGAAAATGAACTGTGAAGACACTTGGCATCAACTAAACCATCTCACACGGGTGCATCAGTCAGCCGCAGACAGGAGACTGAAACCACACAGTCATTTCGACAGGAGAGGCTTAATGCAAAGAAGGATTTAAGGGCCATTGGGGTGGCTTTTTAGAAATTCAGAAGTATTGGCAAGGATGTGGAAAAATTGGTTGGAGCCTGGTGCACTGTTAGTGGGAGGATAAAATGGTACAGCCACTATGGAAAACGCTCTGGTGCTTCCTAAAAAGAAAAATTAAACATAGAATTATCATATAGTCCATAAGGTCACTTTTTGATATATATTCCAAAAAAGAAAAAAAATCGGAGGGCAGGGACTCAAGTAGATATTGGCATGTCGATGTTCAGGGCCACATCATTCAGAATGACCAGAAAGTGGAAACAGCCCGATGTCCATCAAAGAACGAGTCCATCATTCAGCCTTTAAAGAAGAGGAAGATCCTGGTACATGCTATAACTCACATGAACCTTCAGACACTGTGCCAAGAAGCCAGACACACAGGTCCACTCGTAGAGGCACTTGGGATGGTCACATTCCAGGGTGGGTGCCAGGGGGTGAGGGACCATGGGAGGTGGGAGTGGGTTGAGAGTCCAGAGTTTCCATTCTGCACATGACAGCTGTGGCGGTGGCCTAACGGTTGCCCAGTGGTGTGATTTTACTTCACGCCACTGTACAGCTAACCTTAAAAAGGTTCGATGGTAAATTTGCATTATTCAGAGGTAGACTTAGCCCCCGTAACAGGGGCTTCCACTACAAAAGGCTAGAGACTCAGAAGGACTCGGGAACAGCTAATGCAGCAAGCAGCCACTGCTTCCAGGGCTGGTCTAAGCCCCAGTGACTCTGGAAGAGGGACTCCCCCTCCCCCAGCTAAGATTCGACTTTCACCGGAGCTGACATTTCCTGGGGGAGGAGACAAGTGTCAGTGGGCTGGTGGCTGGTGACCACAAGATAAGATCTGTGAATCCACAAGATCCTCGAGAGGAGCCGGTGAGGACCCGTGGGCGGCTGCTGCGTTCCTCCAGCGCCCTCTACTGGCAAAGCCGGGCCCAGCCAGCTGGGAGGGCAAGGGGTTCCCAGGGTCCAGCTCCAACATCACCCGCCAGCGCTTGGAGAGGCAGCAGACCACACGCGGATGATGGTCGCAGGGGTGGTGGTTGGAATCCCAGTCAGTGGAACCCTAATCATAGGCTGTTGTGGGCAGGAGTATAATTGTTCATCGCTCTGCCCTGGTCTCCTGCCCTCTGAGCCCATCTGCACCCCGCTGATGGGGGGCTGCCTATATCTAGGGTCCTGGGGCTCAAAACAAGGCAGCGGAATAAGCAGACCTTATACCCAGGCACCATGGGCTCAATTCCAACTTAAAGGGGGGATTTGCTGCTCTGCCACCAAAGCCTAGGTATGTCAGTGGCTGAACCCCATAATTTATTTCTTGTTCTTGCAAACCCCAGAGCCGTCAGGTGGATGGGGGGAGGGAAATCCACGCTGCCATGGCCATCTGGCGCCTGCCATCCCTGGAGTCTCTGTGACCAGCCGGCAGAGAGTTGGTGTTTTAGGGCCAGGCCTGGAAATGGCTGCAGAGGTGGCTGCCACCTACTTGTCCCTGGCCAGACAGTCACATGGCCCCACACAGAGACCAGAAAATACAGCCCCAGCAGGAAAGTGGACCGGGACTGGGCAGCCAGAGGCCATCTGTGCCACATGGCACTGCCCAGCCCCACCACCTGGAACCAGTGGCTTTGATTCTTTTGAGGCCGGGTTTCCTGCTCTGAGGATGAGGCCGCTCAACCCGGCTCTTCCCACGGTGGCAGAGCACTCCGTCGACCTTGTTGCCATGACCCTGACGGTGTCCCACCCCTGACTGCGCTGCCCATCTCCCCCAACAGGCACCACTTGGATGATCGAGATCCTCAGCTTGATCCTGAAGAACGGGGACCCCTCCTGGATCCGCTCGGTGCCCATCTGGGAGCGCGCGCCCTGGTGTGAGACCATCATAAGCGCCTTCACCCTCCAGGACCAGACGAGCCCCCGCCTGCTGAGCTCCCACCTCCCCATCCAGCTCTTTCCCAAGGCCTTCTTCAGCACCAAGGCCAAGGTGGGGGTGGGTGGGATGGGAGGGGGGCAGGAAGAGGGAGCATGATCAGCAGATCCATTCAGCACCTGTGTGTTGAGCACCTACTGTGTGTGGGGCTCTGACCTGGCACAGTAGTAAACAGACATCAGGAACTCTGACAGAGGGGAGAGCGGGCACAAAGGCCCTGTGGTGAGGGGGGTGTGTCTGGAAACAAGTGGATGAGGGGAAGGGGTGGAGATGAGGGCCCTGAGGATTTAGGAGGGTGGTGATCAGGCCTGGGCTGGCTGGCGCCCCCTGGCTGCCAGGTGGGGGACACCGTCAGGGCTAGGGCAGAAGCAGGGAGGCAGAGAGGAAGCAGCCCTGTTGGTTCTGGTGCCGGTGGGAGGTGACAACTGGACCAGGGTGGTGGCCTTGAGGTGAAGGAAAGGGACTGGGCTGGAGGTGTGTTTGAGGAGGGAAGGGCGAGGCTGTGCTGACAGATGAGTCAAGGTGACAGCTGAGCCGTGATGATACTGCCCCCTGCTGGGCCAGGAGGGAGGTGGGCTCTGCTGGGCGACCCTGGTCCAGGCCTAACCTGGTCTAGGCCGGGACTGCAAGGGGCAAGGAGGTGCACAGATCTGACACGTCTGTGTGGGACCCCTCGGTACCATCCTCCCTCAGCCTCCCTGAGCCTTGGTTCCAGCCCCTGTGCGGCTACCAAATCTGCAGCTGCCGAAGTCCCTTTATATAGAAGGGCATTGCGTTTGCACATGACCTGGGCACTTTAAATCATCCCCCCCCCCCCCCGCCGCCCCGTGCAAGGCAAGCGTTATGACAGACAGCCGTCGTCCTACTGTGCAGCTTAGGGAATAACGAGGGAAAAGCCTGCCCACGTCTAGAACCCACAGGCCCTTTCCTGAATGTTATGCGGGCAAAGATCCTTATTAAGTGAGAAACTCCAAGGCCTTCCAGCTTACCTCCTGGACCCGGGGGCAAGTTCCAGATCTTTCTTTGGGCAAAGTGATCCGTCTACTACACAGGGCCAGGTGGGTGTCCCGGCATGCACCCACCTGACATCAGAAGTCACACTGGTCTCCATCCAGGGGACCTGGGATTTCTTTCTTGGCATCCACCCCTGATGCCTGTGTCAGTCCCTGAGCGCTTCTGTGGACTCTAAATAAAATACTAAAAAGGGCCGGGGATGTGGCTCAGAGGTCAAGTGGCCCTGAGTTAATCTCCAGTATCAAAAACAAGAGCAGCAGGTTGTCAGGCTTCAGACGCCAGCCCAGGTGGCTCTGTGCTGGGGCCCCGGGAGCCAGAGGGGGCAGTAAGCAAGGAGAGCAGGCCTCCAGGCGTAGAAAGAGGGTCCAGGGGAGGCTGGAAGGCCAAGGAAGGGGCTGGGGCCCCGCTATGGGAACGGAAAAGGGGGCCAGCTTTGTCTCCTGGTCCATGCCCCCTGCCCTGAGCACCCCCGTCCTGAATCCCGCACCTTCTCTCTCCACCTCTTTTCTCTGAGGCCAAACTGTCCCTCCAGCTGGCCCAGAAACAGCTCCTCCCTGTCCCTGGTTGGAAGGAGCGCTCCCATCTCCTGGGGAGTCTGCCCCGCATCCTTCCTGCCGTAGGGTCACAAGAGGGGCTGGCGGGCAGCAGCCTTGGGTCTGGGGTTCTGCCTTTGTGTGACGTCTGTCCCTGTCCTGGCCATCCGCGTGCAGGTGATCTACCTAAGCAGGAACCCCCGGGACGTGGTGGTCTCCTTCTACCATTACTCCAAGATCGCCAGGCAACTGAAGGACCCTGGCACCCCTGACCAGTTCCTGGAGAACTTCCTCAAGGGTGAAGGTGAGCCCTGGTGGAGCAGGGGACCCAGACGGAAGAGGATAAGGAAGAAAGGGACCTTACAGAGTGGGGGGGAGGCCAGGAAGTGAGGCAGGGAGACGGAGGGACGGACAGACAGAGGAGGGACACAGGCAGATGGTCAAGGGCCGCCCATGGTGGGGAGCTGGGGAGGAGTGGGCTAGAGGCAGATGCAGTGAACTTGGCGGATGCAGGAGGGTGTCCACTCTGGCGTTGTGGCGGGGGGGGGGGGTGTCGCGTCCTGAGGTGGAGTTGGTGCCTTTGGGACCCCAAGCAGCTGCTGCCCACCCTCACCCCTGCCCCTCTGCCCCCAGTGCAGTTCGGCTCCTGGTTCGACCACATTAAGGGCTGGATTCGGATGCAGGGCAGAGAGAACTTCCTGCTCCTCACCTACGAGGAGTTGCAGCGGGTGAGTCCCCACCTCTGCCTCGCCAGCCCTCTACCCTCCCCGCTGTGCCCCAGTGCACCAGGGGATGGGGAACAGAGACCCTGAGCAATTCAGAACAGGGCAGTCAAAGGGAGCCTCTGAGGCAAAGGTGACACCAAGCCAAGGTCTCAAGGAGGAGAGAGAGACAGAGAGCCTTGGAGACATGGAGGGGGAATAGTGTCCCAGGCAGGGGAATAGCCAGTGCAAAGGCCCTGAGGTTGCTTCTTTTCCTTGAAGCGTTCTTAGGAAAACAAAGAGTCTGGGCACAGTGGCTCACACCTGTAACCCCAGTGGTTCCGGAGGCCGAGGCAGGAGTATCTCGAGTTTAAAACCAGCCTCAGCAACATCAAGGCCCTAAGCAACTCAGGGAGACCCAGTCTCTAAATAAAATACAAAAAAGGGCTGGGGATGTGACTCAGTGGTTGAGTGCCCCTGGGTTCAATCCCCAGTATCTGCCCCTGCACCCCCCACCAAAAAAAAAAAAAAAAAAAGAAAGAAAGAACAGGAGAACAAGAGATCCCTGCAGAGGACAAAGGAAAATAGGAAAAGAGAGGGTGGAAGGTGGAGCCGCCTGGAGGACTGCACCTCGTCTCTGAGCTGGGGGGAGAGGGCGAATGCGATCAAGGGGAGTTGTGTGGAGCCTGAGGACCGGCAGAGGACACAGTGGAGGAACAGCCTGGGGGACACACTGGGATCCCAGCTGGACCCCTCCGAGGGCCCTGCGGCAGGCACAGGTCAAGGGGCGCCTTGCCTGGTGCACTCAGGGGTGGCTCCCAGGGGCCAGGCAGGGTGGTGGCTATGGCTCTGGCCAGCTATCAGACAGATGCTGGGCTTCCAGAACAATCCACAGCCAACAAGCCCAAGCCCAACCATTCAAGGTTCCTGTTTTCTTTTTTTTTTCTCTGACACTGGGGACGGAACCCGGGGTACTCTACCACTGAGCCACATCCCCGTCCCTTTTTCAAATTATTTTATTCTTAGAATGGGTCTCCCTACGTTGCTGAGGCTGGCTTTGAACTCGCCATCCTCCTGCCTCGGCCTCCTGAGCCTCTGGCCTGTTCCGCTCCGGGTCCCTGCCCCCGCCTGCGCTTTCCCGGGTGCGCGCTCCACATGCTCCCGGTGGACTCCTTCCTGCTGCGCTCTTTGCAGGGGAAGGGTCTGGACTCTGGTGTCCCACAAAGTTGAAGGCCCCTTGAAACCCTCAGCTCAGGCTGGAGCTGGGGGCCGGGTGGCGCAGCTCCCTGGCTGCATCCCAGCACCCAAGCAGCAGCAGCAGCAGGAGCAGAAACGTGCCAGGGCCCAGAAGTCTCACCCTTAAAACGGGGTGAAAAGAATGACTCCCAGCTAGGGCCCGGGGATTCCGGCAGCGGGGCACTGTGACCACCGATCAGGTCCAGCCTCGTGAGCACCGCGTGGACAGCGGTGGAGAGGGCAGACCTGACCCGGAAACAGAGCGAATGTCTGCCACTTGGTGCTGAATCCCAAGGTGATGGCACTTAATCCCCCACAGCAGGGACCGGCCAGGCTACCTGCCTCTGATGCAGCTTCCCGTGGTTGCCCCACGCGGCCATCCCCCTCCTCTCCGGGGAGCAAACGGGGCGTTAAGAACTTGAGAGAGCTCACCGAGGCGCACAGCCCTCCCCCAGGCTCCCTCTGTAATTTCTTTTTTCCATCCGGGTAAATGTCTTTTGATGGAACAGGGGAGGGTGGAAGATGCGGCCACTGTGAGGAGGTTCCCTTGTCCCCGGGTGGGTGGACCTTTTCCATCAAGCTTTGTTCTCCAAACCAAAAGTAGGCCAGAGAGCCTAGCAGAACTTCTGGGCCACCCCAAGGCGGAGGCTGAGCCCACAGGTTGGCACTCCTGGGACACAGCAGTGGTTCAAGCAGACAGGGGGATGGAGGGTCAGAAAGAGAGGTGACCTGGAAGAGCAGGGCAGTCCAGCTGGAGGCAGGCCGCGCAGGGCGCTGAGTATCACAGAAGGCAGTGGGGCAGAGGGGCCTGTGAGCTTCAGACCTGAGTCTGAGCTTCTCCCTGGCTGTGTGGCCTTAGACAAGTGTCTTCCCTTCTCTGAGCCTTCATTTACTAACCAGATGATACTTGCAAAGCTGATAACAGGATCAGAAAATGCACATGAGGGGTTTGGACCAGAGCTTGGTGTATACTAGGTGCTCATTCTGCAGTGATTTCAATGATCACTGTCCCAAGGAAGGTGATATTCAGAATGCATCAATGACAGAGGACATTCTGACAGCCCAGTGCCAGGTCTGGAGGGAGGAAAGTATAGGAGGGAAAGTTCTGGAAGGACAGGGTGGGAGGCCTTGGGAGGAGCTGAGACCAGGCCACTTTGTCCTGGAAGGGCAGGCCTGGGGATCAGGACCCTGTCCTGGGGCACTGGGGAGCCGTGGGAAAGCTGGGAGGAGAGGGGCAGCAGTGTATGTGGAATGGGGACGAGGCTGGGGGCAGGGAGGCCGGGGAGGAGGCTGGGGCAGGACAGCAGAGGCAGAGGGCAGGAGGGACAGGCTGATGACAGGGGTGTAGGGTGAGGGGGACGGCGGGGTGTGGCCAGGCCTGGGAGTCTAGCCCTGTGGCTGGGACACGGAGGGCGCTCCCAAGGGGGGCCCAGAGGAGCTGACCAGGAGCTGCCTGCTTCTGACCCCAGGGAGGATGGGCTCCAAAAGGCCCTGAGCTGACTTCTGACCCGCTGTGACCTCAGGTGCACCCAGCCCCCATTCAGAACCCCTTGGCCTCGCCTTGGACAGAGGTGGGAAAATAGGCAGGGACAGGAGGCACCCGGCCACTCAGGGCCAGGACCTGGCATCCAGCCCCCTGGATGCGGCGCCCTCCCACTGCTGACCCCTCCCCACCCACTCTCCGCCGCTCCCAGGACCTCCAAGGCTCCGTACAGCGCATCTGTGAGTTCCTGGGCCGGCCGCTGGACGAGGAGGCCCTGAGCTCTGTGGTGGCACACTCGACCTTCGGTGCCATGAAGGCCAATTCCATGTCCAACTACACGCTGCTGCCCACCAGCCTGCTGGACCACCGCCAAGGGGCCTTCCTCCGGAAAGGTGAGGGAGCTCTGGGCTCCGGGATTCAGGCCCCACCAGGCCACCAGATCGCTGTGTGATTTGGGCCAGTTCCTTAGCCTCTCTGGGCCTCAGTTTTCCCAGCTGGAGTGTAGGGGTGAACAGGGTCACTAAGAACCCAGGATTGACTTTGCTCACAGAGCTCAGTATAGAGCCTGGCACACGAGTCTCTGCTCTGAGTCTCTCTCTCCTCTCCAGGGAACAGGACCCCATGGGCACCGATCCAGGCTGCCAACCAGGCCAAGGCCCCACAAATCCTCCTTGGCATTAAGAAGAAATACCCCAGTGTCGGATTACAGAGCAGGGGTAGAAGCAGTTAGTCCTGCTCTAACCAACTGACACAGGCCACAAACAGCACACACCTGTTCTCAGCTTACACTTCTGGGGGTCAGAGATCCAAAATCAGTCTGCCTGGGTAACATCAGGCCAAAAGGACCAGAAATCTTCTGAAGACTTCACAGGAGAATCTTTTTGGTTTCTCACTAACCTACATTCCCAGCATCTGGCCTCCTCCTGCATCTTCAAAGCCAGCAGCCGAGCACCCTCGGTCCTCCAGCGTCCCTCATTTAAGGTCCCTTGTGCTGTACACCCCGTGATTCCAATGGCTGGTGCTAGAGGATTGTAAATTTGAGGCCAGCCTCAGCAATTTAGTGAGGCTCTAAGCAATTTATAGAGATCTTGTCTCAAATTTTAAAAATAGAGGGCTGGGGCTGTAGCTTTGGGGTAAAGTGCCCCTGGGTTCAATTCCCAGTACAAGGGGGAAAAGAAAGCATTCCTTGTGGTGACATTGGGCTCACCCAGATAATCTAGAACCATCTCCTGACTCAAGACCCTTCATCACATCTTCCAAGTTCCCTTTGACATGCAGAGTTACATATCCACAGATCCAAGTTGGGTTGGAGGCACCTGGGGGCCCGGCTAGGGCCGGATAGGGCCTCTCTACAAGCTACTGTGATGGGAATGACATGGGCCCCAGGATTCCAGTGCCCCGCTGATCACCCATGACCACATAGGAAACCGGAGGCTCAGGGGGTGGCGGGGCCCTGGGGCTGCCAGGAGGCCCCAGACACCTGACCGGGTTTCCGCAGGGGAGGGGCCCAGTCATCACCCAGCAACAAGAGTTAGGGACAGGACAGAGGAGGCCACCAGACTGTAAGAGAGGTGCTGGACAGAGGCAAAGGGTCAAGGGGCGAAGTGGGGTGCCAGGGGAGGGAGGAGGTGAGGGCTCAGGGCCCTGCAGGTGACAGACCACGTAGGAGTCCCCCATCCTAGGTAAAGGGGGCGACAGGTCGCTGGGGAGGTGGAGGGTGCTGTGAAGGAAGATGCTGGAATGTTAGGGGTGAGGGGAGGACGCCCCAGCGGCTCCTCACCCGCGGTCCCTCCCTCCATCCCCTCCAGGGGTCTGCGGGGACTGGAAGAACCACTTCACGGTGGCGCAGAGCGAGGCTTTCGACCGCGTGTACCGGGAGCAGATGCGCGGAGTGCAGGCCTTTCCCTGGGACGAGGCCCCAGAGGAGAGCAGCCCGGACCCCGAGCCCCAGCCCAAGCCGGAGACTGAGCCCGAGCCGGATCCCAGCCCCGTCCAGGCCTCGGATCCCGCCCACCCGTGACCCCGAATAAACACGTCGCTCCAGCCCGGCTCCTTGATGCGCGCGGGGGCGAGGGCGGCAGGGGGCGCGCGAGGGCGCTGGGGCGGCGGCGGGGGACCCCGCACCTGGCGCCCAGGCTGCGTTCCACCGGGGCCTTGGGTCCCATCTGTCCCGCCAATGGGGTTGGTGACTCAGGAGCCCCGCTCGGAGGCAAAGATGCTACCGAGGCCCGGGCTGTGCACAGCTTCTCCGGGCCGCGCTGCGCTGCGCTCTGGGGCTGGGGACCTGGCTACAGAAATACAAGTTTGGGGCACGAAGGAGTTTTATTCTGAGCAAAAGTAATGGGGAGCCTAGAGGATCCACCGCTTCGTGCTCCCCGAACGCCCAGCGCCAGCCCAGCCCCCACCGGACCCCTGGGCGGCTGTGAACCCAGGACCTTGCAGCCCCCGACTGTTCCGCTGAGGCTCCTGCCCTCTCTCCTCTCCTCTCCCGCCTCCGCTTACTCACAGCTTCTGGGGGGAGGGAGGGGGAAGCATGGCCTTTTGTCCAGGGACTCCTCAGGCATGTCCCACAGAATTCCATGGGGCTGCTCAGCCAGCCTCTTGGGGAGAGTCCATCCTGGCTGAACGGGTTCTGGGGTCCACAGCAATGGAGGCCTCCTGCGACTTCCCTGACCGGGAGCTGAGGCCTAGGGCCGGCACTGGGCTTCTTCCACTGCCCAGGCCCTGAGGCCAGAGGCCTTGTCTGAGGCACAGCATCAGGCAGGGGTCTCTGAGAGGGCACATTTGTCTGGGCTCCTGTCAGGGTCGCCCTCCAAGTCCTGAGCGGGAGGCCCAGTCTGGCTTCGGGAAACCTCTGGATTCCGGGAGCTTGGATGCAGCGTCATCACCAAACCTCCTTTGGGTTGGGGACAGATAGCGGAGGTGGCGGCGGGCAGGGATCAGGGGCAGGGGGCCACCCCAAGGCTGGGACCAGGCCAGAGGGCGGGTGTCCACCTCACCCCACGGGCCCCCTCCAGTGCCCCGCTGCCTCATCAGGGCCTTGGCAGGAGTGTCCTTGGAACCCCGGGACTTTTTGAGCTGTGGAAGGAAAAAGAGGAGGTGAGAGGAGGTGAGGGGGAGGAGGCTTCTGGGGCCCAGAGCCAGGGAGGGAGGAGGGGAGGAGAGAGGTGGGGAGAGGTGGAGGGGATGCAGGGGAAGGTTAGATGGGAGGAGAGGGAGGGAGGGAGGAGGAGGAGGAGGAGGAGGAGGAGAGGAAGCAGAGGAGCTGGAGGAAGATGGGGGTGAGGAGAGGAAGGAGAAGAGGGAGGGAGGGAGGTGGGGGGAGATGTCAGGGAAGCAGGTAGGGTGGAGGGGAGGTCTGGCACCCCCAGACCCGAGGGGGCAAGGAGCCACATCCCTCCTGCGGCTTTGCAGGTGGGAGGAACTGGAAGCAGCTGGCAGCTGCCTGGGGAGGGGGGGGACAAATATTTGCTAAGGGAGGTGATGCAGGGTCAGGGTGGCAGGGGACGAGGTGGAGGTGGAGGTGAGAACCTTGCCCCTGCCTAGCCCCCTTCTCCTCCTCCAGCTCCAGGAAGCCGCCGACTGGGAGGAGGGAGCCAGTCCCAGGGGAGAAGCCTCTGGCTCCCACTTACCAGATGGGGAGGCTGAGGCTGGGGTACAGCTCAGAGGGGCTGCGCCATGGGCGTGTCTGCCTGTCTCCCCTACGTGGTGCTGCTCTGACCCCCCCAGCAGCTCACTTTGTGGCTGAGGAGACTGAGACTCAGAGGAAAAAGTCACCTGATCAGGGTCCTCCAGTGAGGTCCAACCGGTTGCTTGGAACCTCATTGTCTGAGCAGCATGAGGAACAAGCCCTTGGGCTCCCATAATCCTCTCCCCCTACAGCCTTGTGACTCTCAAATCCAGGAAGCGGACCATTGAAAGGCCCACTCGGGAGGCAGCCAGGGCTCTGGGCCTTGGTTTCCCCCTCTGTGAAGTGGGTAGATTAAATTTAGCCAGTCTTGTGAAAGTGCTGGGCATGGCGAGGCGACAAAGCAGGCTGGTTATCTAAAGGATGGTTATTCCAACCTGGGGCGAGTTACTTAATCTGAGCCTCCACTTTCCCCTTGGTAACAATAAGCATGACAGCAGTGTGACCTCCCCGGCCCGGGGTGAGAATGTAATGAAATAAATAAAGCATGATTCCGTTTCACCCAGACTGGGAAGGAGCTCAACTGCTCAGCCACCCCCTAGATGGGAACCCTGGGGTTCAGGGAAGCATGTAGCACCCAAGGCTCAGGGGTCTTTTTCTGCCCCCTGCTACCCAGAGCTTGCCCCCCAACACATGGAGGAGGCTCATGAAATGGGCCCCGCAGTTGTACATCGAGGCCAGCGGCTCGCTCTTCGTACCTCCCCGGTGCTGGGCGTGCGGTTGGCCCTTGGAAAACACTTCCTGTTCTGGGGTTCAGAGTAGGACCCCGGAACCCAGCCCACCCCTGTGGGTGCTGCCTTCCCCTTCCTGGGCCTCTGCTGTCACCTCTGTCCTCCGGCAGCAGCCACCAGGTCTTACCTCATTGTCACCGTCACTGGAGCCTGACATCTGGGACAGGCGGCTCAGGTCCCACAGGGAGCGGCTGGGCCGAGTCGGGGGGCCACTGCCAGTCCGGGCACGCTGTACGCTTCTTAGGATGTCACTGAGAGCGGGCCCTGGTGGGGCAGGGGACTCCTGCCTGTCCCCCTCGAGGATGCGGCAGGCAGCCAGGCGGTGGGCCAGTGGCCCATTGGGTGGCAGCCGTGACACAGGGGCTACAGGGCAGCGGTGAGCCACACGGTGTGGGCTGCGGGCCAGCTGCCCGTCTCCCGGGACGCCCTGGGCGGGCATGGATGGGAGTGGCCACGAGGCTGCATACAGTGTCCGGAACTCACGGCTGAAAGCGTCGACGATCTCTCCGGTCATCAGAGTCACCAGACCGCGGTGCAGGCGGGCGTCACTCCACGTGAAGCTGGGGGACCAGAATCAGGGGTCAGGTCTCTGTGAAGCCTGGTTCCCATCGCCAGTCCCCTCCCGGGTCCCAAGGCAGGTGGGGTGACCTCAGACAGGTCCTGGCCTCTAGCACCTCAGTTTCCCCCTCTGTAGAAGGGGGACCACAGAGGTACACGACCCGGGGGACAGATGTGAGGACCACATGAGTCAAGACACTGTCCTTTGGAGTCAGAGTGGAGCTCAAACCTGGGCTCTGCCCGGCCCCAGCCAGGAGCGTTTCAGCTGGAAAGAGTCGGGGTGAGTTTCCCGGCACCCACAGCCTGTTTTAAACTCAGCTGCTTCCCAGAAAGAGTGCATTCATTAAGCACTTGCTGTTTGCCGGGCCCTGGGTCTCCTGCCCCCTGCCTGCCTTAGCTCCTTCCTCTGTAACATGAAGCCCAAGCACAGGCAGACTCCAGGGAGGACATGGGTTCCTGTCCCTGCGTGAGGCCAGTGCGGAGAGCCTGAGAGCTGTGGTGGTGGTGGGTGCTCTTGTCCCCTGTCCCCGCGGGGTGTGCTCGTAAATTCTCGGCTGCAGTCTTGGCGCCGCACATGCCCGGCAGACTCCTCCTGTCTCCCAGCCTCCTTGGAATGAAGCGAGACCCGGGCTCCAACCCCGGCTCAGGGACTCCTGGGTGTGTCACTTTGCCCACCTGGAAGTGGGGTTGCCGCGGGAGATGTGAAGTCAGACCCTCGGGGGGCGCAGCACACACAGTGGACGAGCCGTGGCCAGCATCGTGGGCGCTGCTCAGGCGTCCTTACCTTGGCGAGGTGACTGTCCTCGCTCCATTGAAGGTCAGCAGGTTGGGCCACCTTGCACATTGTGCCACCTGCCCCCACCTATGACCTCACCCCAGAGCGGTCAGTGGGAACCCTGAGGGGTCTGTGAGGTCACCGCATTCCACTTCACAAAGACTTGTCGGGCCCTGGCGCTGGCCTGTCTCCGCCCCGAGGCCTCAAGAGCTTCCTGAGAGGGACACAGAGCATTGGGACCTGACACTCCCAGTGGCCAGGACAAGGAGCAGAGGTCCTGTGGGTAGGAGTCCCAGGAGGTCATTCATTCAGCAATTCCTGGACGCCCAGGAAGCCCCCGGCCTGGCTTGGGCGCCGTCCCCGCCGCCAGGCCGCCATGGTCCTTGGCTGGCTGCTGCTTCTGATGATGGCTCTGCCACCGGGCACCACGGGGGCCAAGGACTGCATCTTCTGTGAGCTGACCGACTCCACCAAGTGCCCTGGCACCCACATGCGCTGCGGGGATGACGAGGACTGCTTCACAGGCCACGGGGTGGCGCAGGGCGTGGGCCCCGTCATCAACAAGGGCTGCGTGCACTCCACCAGCTGCGGCCAGGAGGAGCCGGTCAGCTACATGGGCCTCACCTACAGCCTCACCACCACCTGCTGCTACGGCCACCTGTGCAACGCCAGCCCCGGCCACACAGGCAGCTCGACGGTGGGGGCCGCAGCGGGCCTGCTGGTGGGCTTGCTGCTTCTGCAACATTTGCCGTAGCCCTCTGGGAGGGCAGGGCCCGGGACCGGTCTCCCAGATGCCCCACCTTTCCCCCTTTCCCCCATTAAATGGCCAGAGGCCCTCGACAACCGCTTGTGGCCCCGGCTCCATCCATTCTAGGGCTGTCCCCCCGCAGCCCAGGGCCGGGAGAAGCACCCGGGGCCTGACTCGGTGGTGCCGGCCGGTGGTCTGTGAGCTTGACTGCACGACTGTATTTCATCGGTTCTAAGATGTGTGTATTTTTGCATCTCAATCAGGATACTTCTTTCCCTTGGTGGCACCTTAGAGTCTATGAAATATGACTAAAAAAAAAAAATCATCGTAAAAATAAATGACAGCTGACACTGATGGAGAATTCCTTCTGTTACGTGCCAGGCACCGTTCTTAAAGCGTGTGTCCCGAGGAGCAGCAGCAGTCACACCTGGGAAACTGCCAGAAAGGCACAGCGGGGCCCCGTCCCAGGCCGGTGAAGGGGGTGGGCAGGAAGCTGTGTTTCAAGTCCTCCGAGTGACTCTGGTGCACATCAGGCTGAAAACCCCTGTCCTGCACCATGATCCTCAGCCGGCCATTTCTATGCCCCCAGGGCATGTGGCACTTTCTGGAGAAGTTTTTGGTTGTTATAACTGGTGTGTGTGTGGGGGGGTGGCGACCAACACCCGCTAGGTCCAGGCGGGGGACACAGCACATCACCCTCTAGTGCACCTGGCAGACACCCCCATAACAAAGATGCAGCCTAAAATGTGAGTGGTGTCTCTGTCGAGAAATCTTGTTCTAAAGGCACTAACCATTTCATCTCATTCTGGAGAGAGCGGGGAAATGAGGCACAGAGAGGTGAATCAAATTGCCCAACATTGCACAGCTAGTACTAAACAGAGTTAAGACTTGAATCCAGGTCATCTAGCTCCAGGGTCCATGTCCCAGTTTTCCAGATTAGGAACTACAAGGCCAAAGAAAGACTTCCCCAAGGCTACTAACGAGGCCAGCAGCAGGGCCAGAACCAGTACTCAAGCAGGTCTGGCTCCAACCCCGCGAGCTCACACCTCCTCTTCTGGGAAGGGTGTTTGGGCCCATTTTACAGATGAGCATAGAGAGACCCAGGAAGGGGAAGTCATCTGAAGGAGAGCTGGGTACAGGACGCTGAGAAGCCGTACCTGTAGGATCCTGAGATGACCCTGTCACCGTCGAGGAGCACGAACTTCTCTCGCACGTTGCCGCTCACCTGCCGTCGACAGCGGCTCTGGAAAGTGCAGCCCCGCACGATGCGGACGTCCAGGTTCTGTGGGGTCGGGGGGATGCCCTTGCTCAGGCCCACTCCACGGGCTGGGGTCTCTCAAGGCTATTTCTACCTGGGTGGCCCGTGACCCATAGAAGCTGCTCAAATGTCCCCAGAGCCACTAGTATAGAGCTTCAGGAGTTGCTTGGGGATACCCCTCCATGGCCCAGGACCCCCCAGGAATGTCACCTCCACTGTCCCTAGTGTCTTGGGCACTAGATCTCGGGAGATCCTCAGCTGGCATCTATCTCAGGGACCCAGGACCCCGTGGAGAAGTCTGTGCTGCCCCAGAGCCGCGGAACGGGGCTGCCCAGGTCCCTCTGGCCCAGCCCCTACCTCCGTGGCCCAGGGGTTCACCCCCAGCTGCTGGGCCAGCACCAGGAAGGCAGGCAGCTGCTGGCGGTCCAGGAGCAGGTAGACGGGCACCCAGCGGCGCAAAGCGGCGTCGACCAAGTCCGAGAGCAGGTCTGGGTCAGTGAGGACATCCATGACCACGGCCACCAGCTGGGCACAGGGAGAGGCGATGCGGACGTGTGGGTGGAGTCTGGGATTTGGGGGCCGCTCAGGGTAGGGGCTGACATCAGGGGACTAGGGGGTAAGATGCTCGGGAGGCTGGGGTTAAGGGCCTGGACTACCTGGGATACTCAAAGGGCTGAAAGGGAGTCCTCTGGACAAGAACAAGAAACAGGCAGGCCTTCCTAAGAGCCCAGCCCCGATGGTCTAGAAAACGTCCATCAAAAATCACAAGTCGCTGGGTAGCACGCACCTGTGACTCAGGGGGCTGAGGCTGGAGGATGGCAAGTTCAAGGCCAGTCTCAGCAAAAGGAAGGCACTAAGCACCTCCGTGAGACCTTGTCTCTAAAATGCAAATAGGGCTGGGGCTGGGGCTCAGTGGCCAAGTGCTCCTGAGTTCAATCCCCGGTACCCACCCCCTCAAAAAAAAAGAAAAGAAAAAGATCCTGACTCAAAATAAAAATAAAAAAGGCTGGGAGTTGAACCAGGTGTGGTGGTGCGTGCCTGTATTCCCACTGGCTCGGGAGGCTGGGGCAGGAGAACCAGGAGTTCAAAGCCAGCCTCAGCAATGTAGCAAGGCCCTAAGCAACTCAGCGACACCCTGTCTCTAAATATAAAAAGGGCTGGGGATGTGGCTCAGTGGTAAAGCACCCCTGGGTTCAATCCCCAGTACCGCTGAGAAAAAGAAATGAAAATACATGTCTACAACCATGAACAGCCCTTGAACTGTGGCACTATGGTGCCCAAATGTCCACTGGGTCAGTGGCCGGGCGCCCTTGGAGGGCACCGTGGGTAACTGGGCTCTGGGTCCTCTGGAATGGCCTGGGTGCTGAGGGCAGGAGGGCTGACTTGCTGGGCCACTAAGGTGTGCTTTGGGAACCCCAGCATGCTGATGACCGGATCTTAAGACAGAACAAGGTAGTGGTGACAAACCCTGATTCGCCAGTCAGGTGGCCTGGGTTCAAGTCCCCACTCAGCCACTGACAGGCCCATGCCTGTTTCCCCATCTCTTCAATGGTCATAATGGTCCCCACCTCAGAGGAAGACCATGCACGTTAAAAAGCATCCTCCAGCCTCAGCCTCCTGAGTCACTCTGAGACTGCCTCCGAGGAATGGGCTTTCTGGGGCTGCAGGGGAGACTTGGGCCTTCCCAGGGGCTGGGGGTGGGAGATAGAATGCACGACTGGGATGGAGGGACAGTCATAATTTGGTTTGAGGCTCATGGATGTCTAAAGGGAAAGAGCAGGGACCCCCCACCCCCCGCTGCTGCCCACATTAGATCTCTGTCATAAGGATGAGGCCCACGGTGGGCCTCCTGGGCTCTAGGGATGGGGTCCTGGGGTTGTAGACATGCGAGTCCTGCCAGGGCCCAATCCTGCAAATGGCATGTGAAGGTGTCCAGGTCTGAGGAACGGCCCCAGGCTCCTGGGGTTCTCACCTTGTGGGCAGCTTGGATTTCCTGGCGCACCAGCTCCTTGAGAGGTGGGTGGCCCTCGCCAGGTGGCTGTGTGTACAGCTGTGCTCGGGTGATGCCCTTCCAGGAAGTGTCCTCTGGCCAGCCAAGTCGCAGCAGGGGCGCTGGTTCCTCTGACTGCCCAGGCCAGTAGGTCAGACTGCCCGCGTCCTCTTCGGTGGTGGTGGCTCTTTCTGCTGCCCCGCCGGGCTCTTGCCTGGCTACTGTCCAGTCTTCAGCAGCCGCAGCCAAGCCCTGGACCTCGTCCCCGCTCAGGAAGGGCCGCAGCCCCTCCTGTTGTACACAGGCCTGGAAGGCCTCTGCCCCCTTGCTCAGCAGGGCTTCCAGCGCCAGCCGCTGGCCCTCAGAATACAAGAAGCCGGGGCTGGCCTCGCCCAGGGACCTCACCCCGGCCCCTAGTTCCACTTCTTCCAGTGCTGCCAGCTGGGAGGCTGCCATGGGGCCAGGTGGGTGGGACGAGCGTGAGTGTCTGGGTCCCCGAGGGTCTGGCCGTCTTTGGAGGATTGACCATCTGGGGTCTCCTGACAGACTATGAGGGCATCTGAGGCCTCCAGGGCAGCCCCGCAAACGTCCACAGCTCCCTGCGCTGTCACTGGCTCACAGTCCCCACAATTGGACTGTCCAGTGAACGACTCAGGCTGTGAGAACTACCTGCCAACACTGTGCCCCTGTGGTCTTCTCTGACCTCCAACCAGCTGCTAACAGTCTGGATGGCCCCCTGGCATCAGCTAGCCTCTCTGCTGGACCACAGGACCTCCAGCCTGCCAGCCACAAGATGTCTCAACCTTGTCAGACTGACCACCCAGCTGCCCTGGTTGAAGGTCTGCCTAACTGCCTGACCATTTCCAGGAAACAGGTTGTCCGCCTGTGCCTGACCACCCAATCTCACTAACCAATGGCACAGTGGGTTGCAAGTGTGAATCTGGCCAAGAGCATGTCTAGCTGACCACCTGGCTGCTGGACAGACACCGGTAGCTTGACTGGTGATACCTGTCAGCTGGTGGAGCTCCCAGCTGTCCCCAGCCCAGTCTCTCTGCCTGGACGAGCCTCTCTGGTCCATCAGTCGGCTGGCTCCCCAGTCCTCACTGGCTAACCATCCTGGAAGCCTCCCAGCCCTGGAGAAATGTGCCTCAGCCCCAAGCCGAGGCACCGTCCCTTCCCCTGGGGAACTGGCCAATCTCTTCCCTACAATGGGGGACACCCTGCTTCCTGGACCCTCATACCCCAGCCCCTGAGGCCGCTGCAGTTAGGGCTGAGACACTCTGAAACCTGCCCATGATCTTGACAACCCACCTATGAAAGCAGAAGAGCCAGACGTGGCTTCTCAGGCTGGCTGCCGCCGCCTGTGCCTTGGCCCCAGAGCCACCCTCTCCTTCCTGATGCGGAGACGAGACCTACCCAAACTGATCCCTGCGTGGACTTCTGCCTCAGTCTGACCAGCTGACCACTCACTTCTTCCTGGACAGGGACCAAGCTCTATCCTGTCTCCCTCCCCAATTCTCCCAGTGATTCTACAAACCAGCTGCCCCACCTTTCAGTCCCTGGGACTGCTTTTCTTTAGACCACCGCAAGGGCTCCTGCAGAGGATGAGTAAAGCTGGCCTTCTTCAACCGAGCCTCTACCCCCTTCTTCTTGCCTTCTCAGAGAGCCAGTATCAGGGCTGCAGACCTCCTTTTCACTCCTGTTCTTCCGGGGCCTTTGTCAGGCTTTAACCTGGGACCTGGGAACCCAGCCCCTTGTGTAAACACAGGGAGGGACCACACAGGGGCACTTGGCAGCGACTGGCCAGCTGCCACTCAGGCTTCCGGTTACCAGGAGAGAGGGCAACACCTCATCAGCTCCCAACCCCCACACCGCAGCCCCACCCCCTAGTGCCAGGGAGATCCTAGGAGAGGCGGCATGGCTAATTCTAGGAGGAAACAGGAAAACAAGACACCTCGGAAGGAGGGGGTGCTGATTCCAGTGGGTAGAAGGTCCAACTGGCCCAGTAAGGTAGCTCTGCGCATGTGCCAGGAAGGCCGGGGACACCTCCCTAGAGCAGAGAGGAAGGGCTCCTCCTGGAGGCTGGTCTTCTTGGAGGACCCAGCGTCAAGTCCCCAGACCAGATGCATTCCCACCACAGGTGCCCACGGCTGGTCCCCATTAATAACACAAGAAGACCATCAAATTCAAAGCCTCTTTTATTAACAGTAAATCTGGAGTTAGTTTTTGTACCCACGGCTGGCCCTGCGACCTCTGGCACGCTCGAATTTCCTGCCCTTGGAGCGGACATAGGGTCTGTGGAAAGAAGAGACAGGGTCAGGTGAAACCTCCCGCTGTGCTGGGGACTCGGCAGCACAGGGAGCCAAGAGGAAGAGCCTGCACCAGGACCTCAGGGTCCCAGCCTGAGCCCCACAGCGAGGGTGTGAAATGTAAGCCCCAGCTCCCCAGAAGATGCCCCCACTGAGGCCCGAGGCCTGGTCAGCCTGCACTTAACCCAGGGAACTGCGGGCCGAGCAAAGGGAGGGCAGCTAAAAGGCAGCGAAGCCAGACCTGCCGGGGACCCTGATACTCACTTGGTGTGGCTGTGTGGGGTCCCAGGAGCCTTGCCAAAATGCCGGTACACCTCTCGGCCCTTGCGAGGACCTGGGGAGAGGAAGAAGGAATCAGGCAGGGACAGGTAAGAGCCACTCTGCCTTTGGCCTGCACAGGGCTTGAAGACCATGAGGTGCAGGCCTGGGCGTGTCTGATCTCCCAGACCCAGGAGGGTGAAGGCCAGTGCACCTCACCAAACCCCGACAGGTGCCAGCAAGCATCACTTACCAGACAGCAGGACTGTGCCACGGCCCTTGGGGGAGTCCAGGGCCAGTTGGTCAAAGGTGAGGATCTTGCCCCCAGCCTTGAGGATGCGGGTACGGGCTCGGCTGGTCACACGCAGTGCGCACACCTGGGGGAAACAGGAGGGAGGGGCTCAAATCTCCTGTAGGGAGACCTAGGGACTGCATCCACTGCTCCGGCACAGCACGTGTGTGGCTGCTGGTACCACCATCAGGAGCTTCCTGGATTGACAGCTGCTTTTTTAAAAAAATGTGGTGCTGGGGATGGAACTCAGTGCCTCACCTGTGCCAGCAAGTGCTCCACCACTGAGCCCCAGCCCCAGGCCTTAATCCTTTACCTCTCAGAACTTCCAGACCACACCTCGTGTATTTTGGGGGAATAAGGAAACCGGGGAAAGCATGATTTAAGGATGTGGTATGCAAATGACAAAAGCGGCAAAAAAAAAAAAAAAAAAAGACTTGAGCACAGGCTCACTCCAGAACCAGCAGCCAGCCGTCTACGGGAGCCTAGAGGGGCTTGCGGAGGACTTCCACCATGAATGACCACTCCATCCAATCCCAAGGCCACCAGGACAGGTGTGGTGCTGGTCCCACCCACAGGAGTGACAGAGGTGGCATTACAACAGAGCAAGAAATCTGGTCAGGTCTGAGAGCAGTTTCCTGAGCCAGAGCCCCAAGCCCCACTCACCTTCAGTTTGGGCACCTCCTGAACACGAACGTCATCTGTTATGGTCCCCACGACCACAGCTGTCTTGTTTTCTCGGCCAGGAAGCTTCATCTTCCGGATCTTGAGAGGCATACGAAAAGTTGTTCTGGTGTTTAAATCCCATCCCCCACTCCGGGCATCCCAAGGACCAGGATGGCTGCGCCCTCCAAATGGACTAACCTGCCCATACCTCACCTCCCAACTAGAACAGAAGAAAGTCCAAACAGAGACATCTCACCTGGTGAAGGTGTGTGCTGGGGACGAAACCTAGGACCTGGCATGCTAGGCAAGCATTCTACCACTAAACCCCGACCCCCAGAGATACGTGAAACTTGAAAGCTCAGACAACCCCACGAAGCCACCACAACCCCTCCCATGGCGAGGTGAAAGTAAGGCTAAGACGCTGGGCCAGCTGGCCACCCACTGCTGGCTGCCTGGACTCAGGGGATGCCAGGCTGCTCCAGTACCCCCTCCAGAGCCAGTCCCTGGCCCAGACACTCACCATCCGGGAGAGGGAGAGAGGTGGCCTGTTGGTGCGACTCATGAACAACCTCTTCAGTACCACTTGGTTGAAGGTAGAATTGGTTCGTCTAGCCAGAAACCTGTACAACTGTAGAGGATCGGGAAGACAGTGAGAATGTGGTGTAGCCAGCAGCACTCCCCACTTTCAAGTGAAGGAACAAACAAATGATTCAGGGTAAAAAGGCTGCAGGACTCCCCGACCCTCAAGATTCTCGACTGCCCCAGAATTCAAATTTCCAGATTGGGGAGTGACAGGTCCAGGCAAGGGCGACTCCCCCACCCCACCCCTTCCTGGCCAGGGACACAGAACGCCCCCTCCCCAAGGATCTCAGGCCCAACCTCACCTTGACCAACAGCCTTAGGTAGATGTCCTGGCTCTTGGGCTCCTTGCGCCGAACCTTTCGGTCCTTGTTGTGGCGTATGTCGACTCCCTGGAGGGGTAAGGGGAAGCCATGGTTCCAGTTCTGAATCTGATCCACTACTCACTTCATAGACAGCCTCAGTTGTTACTTATTTCCCAGACTGAGCAGGGACCCAGGCTCTGGGGACAAGAGCTCAAATCCATGTCAGTTCTGAGCCCTCTCTGTAAGGTGGGCATCATCTGAATGAAGACCACAGAACCTCTAAGGATCTTAGTACAGTAGCCATCCAAAATTTTAAAAGTCTTTACAAGCTGTATCTTTGGAAGGACATAATATATGCCTGTAATCCCAGCTGAGACAGCAGATTGGCAATTTTGAGGCCAGCATGGGCAACAGAGAGACACTGAAAATAAAAAGGGTGGGGAATGTAGCTCAGTGGCAGAGAGCCCCTGGGTTCTCCGGTATACCCGCCCCCCCAAAGCAAAACAAAAACCAAACAATGGACTCCCTTACCAGGAGGATAATCAAAAATAAGCCAATGGCAAGCTCTAAGTAATAACAGCGGTGAACCTTTACTTCATAGATAATAGGGACCGCAAAAGCAGTTATCTCCCTCTAACAACTCTCTGAAGTACTTTACTCCCACTTTAGACCCAAGAATCTAGGGAAAGCCCAAATTTCCCAATGCATCCCTACCTGCCCTTCTCGGACTGTGTGATCGTTAGTAACTAAGCATCAGCACTTCCTCTGTGCACGACCGAGTGATGTGCACGGCCAGTGACTAGTGACTGACTTCTTCCCAACTCCCTCATCTCCAACACAACACTACTATGTTCCCAAAGAAAAAAGAAAAGACACTGGGATGCAGGCCGGAAAGCACGAGCACAAGGTGGGTAGAGGACTGAGACTCAATTCGAGGCCCGTCCGGACCCCAGTCCCACGCATGAGATTCTCGACTGCCCCAGAACCCAAGTTTCCAGACTGGGGAGTGACAGGTCCAGGCAAGGGCGGCAAAGGCAAGCGGTTAAAAGT